AGAGAGAGAGAGAGAGAGAGAGAGAGAGAGAGAGAGAGAGGAGAGAGACAAAGAAAGAGAGAAAGAGAGAAAAAAGAGACAGGGAGGAAAAGGAGAGGGGAAAAGGGGAGAATAAAAGGGGAGAGTGGGAGGGAGAAGGGAAGAGTGTGGGAGCATGTGGTGAGCGACAGCTGGAGTGTTTAACGCGTGTGAAATTCATACAAAGATCAAAATAACGTTAGTATCCCTCCCCCATTACTGCAAATGTGCGTGAATTGCGTATATTAACACGCAACATTAGATTCTATAGCCAATGCTTCGACTTACCGATCCTATTTTAGTGTTTGCATCATTACAATAGTATTACTTTCTTTGTACTTTTGTAGTTTAGTCCGAAAAAGAACCCAAAACCGCGCGTACCCAAGCTACCATAAATAGTACTGGCTGTTTACATGATGCAATTAATAAGATTATAGATTTACGGCGTAAACAAACTTTATTTTAATTATCCCATTTACACATGCAACTGATATCCTTCAATGTACACATATAATTTCATGTCATACAGAAATATATAATACAAAACATAAAATCCGTCGGCAGTGCCACACACCCTTAACAACGCCAATACGCTCAAAACAATAATTAGTTACTGCAACTGCATGATAAGAAATGCGTTTCAATTGTGGCTGCATATATATATATCAGGAGTAGATAATAGTCTCTATTATCTACTCCTGATATATATCTACAGTGCAGTTAGTAATTTAGTAAAACTAAAATGTTTAGTTATTGGTGAAAATACAACATCAATGTCTCTAAAGTGCGCTATAAGTTTGAATTGGAAAAATTGAGATTAATTAATTATAATTTACTCTGCTTCGACAACAATTTTAATCAACATAAGTTTTATGAAAAATTAATTAAAAAACCACACTGTGCTATGGGTTAACTTGACTTGTCTGAGATGCCCTGAGACACTGCCCACAATTATCATCATTGTCACAACCATGCAAAACAAACACCATTATATTGAACTTAATTTCTCAAAATCTAAAAAACAGTTTTATTCGTCATGTGTGGTAATGTTGATAATTGTAAACTGTGATAAGTGAGAATGCGATAATTCCCACCCTCCCACCAAAACTGTACAATATAATATGTTAATCTTTCAAAAACAAAGGGACATGTCATGACTCATGAGTTGACATTATATTTCTGTCTATAAAAATGTACAACGGCCGTTGAAATCGTTGGCTTACGGGCCATCATCACCATCAAAATTATGAGCCTACGTGATTTGAAATTAACTTACGCTATCCTACTTACCCATTGCTAAATCATAGCTTCATTGTTCCATAAATATCTGCCACACTAACATATATGTGTTCACTATGGTCAGCCCATCTATATAAATTACTACGTAAGAAAGTGTATTACAATGTATCTAATTGACAATTTATAAAACCATGATAAAACAGAGCTCATGCCGACAGAGCTGTGAAATTGATTCACAAGAGTATATTATGCTAACATCTCAACTACACAGAAAACTAATAAAATATTTATTATTTGTTGGCACATTCATGTTGCAGATACTGCGTAGTCAGATAGTCGTAAATTGTCACAAACGCTTTAGGTTCTTTTTGCTTTTTCGACTACATACAGAACTTGATGGATTTTTATACCGACCGACTGCACATGCTTTTGAACTGTGGAATTCTAACCTACATTTAGTACAGAAAACGAACATGCAAGTAATATTTGTACACGATCCTTTTTCCATTACTTTAACTACTGCAGAAGGAGAATTACACCTCGGGCAGGGCTTCAGTTCTTGCTCATTGGTCAATGCTTCTCCTTCCTGAAATTTATTTAGGAATACACTAAACATGTTGTGAGATTATTGTAACGTGCCCAATAGGTGGCGCCAACTACTTCCCTGAAGCCAGTGGCAAACTCCAACGTGGCAGCCTGGACTGACGAGGAATAAATTCGTTGTTCGTATTATATACTAGTAAACGTTGGTTCTTCAGTCTTTACTTTAGAAATACAACATAGCACGTGTAGTACATGCAACAAATTTTCAAGGGTTTTTAATGAAAACGATTTAGTGTTTGAATGCAATGACTGATAGAGCATACCATGCTATTTGCATACTGGTTGACCTATCCGCTATCTAGCCAATCATTGCTGCGATGGAATGTTCAAAAACAATGCATGGCAACGAAGTGCTATAATGTTGACATTTTGGTGTGTACGCATGAAGAACGCGTATCATCTTGTGTGAATCAATAATGAACAATCATCATTGTCATGGAGAACATACCTTTTTAAAACTCAGGTGTCTGCTCACTGCTGCCGGAATGATTGGCAGAGCGGCCTGCTTACGTTTTGTTGGACTGAGTAAACCAACTTGCTGCACTTCTTGGAAAGCACCGTTGCTGGCAGTAAGGGCACGCGCAGCTGTATCATCATGCTTAGTGGGCGAATTTTCCTGCAATAGATAGTAATTACGTCACTCGTTATTCCTGTTTTTGTTTTATTAACAGAATTTCTTGATACACATCAGCTTGCTTTAATATAGAGTACATGTATATACACAGTATGCAATTTAGTCTAGCAATAGGTGGATCTGCGATATTCAGGAGGTTCGGTTGGGTTTTGAAGGGCGCTATAGCGAAAATTCCTTTAGTAAATACAAGAGAGACGAAGCACACGGGCATGAAAGTTCATTTGGAAAGGTCACAAAATAAGTAGGTTTCAAAAAATTTGCCAGCCGACATCCCAGCCACCTAAAGTTTCTAAGATCAGCAGGGGAAGACGTTTCATGAAACAAAATCACATCAGCACCTCAAAGGTGTGCTGTGCAAAGAATGTCTACTGTGTATAAGAGGATGACAGATAATTCACAGCCAAAAGTATCATGAGTGACTCGCCAGCATGCGAGCTCTGTGATGGCAAAAGGTCAACCTATTTACTGCAACATGTTCCCTGATATAAACTGATCAGATTTCATGTTGACTGTGGAGCACTGGTAAACCTACTCCCGTGAAAGAATCTGACTGCTTTAAATGCAGACTTCACATAACACTAACAACATTGAGTAATGAGTACAAAGGTATACCTTTTCAGCAGATGTAACCTTCTTTCTTCTTTTTTTTAAAAACGCCATACGAGTATCGTTTGCATGCTTGTTCTCTTTGATTATCCTACACCACGTCTTATTTACACACGAGGCTCTGAAAAATAACACATAATAGTATTCAGTGTTTTTAAAGGCCACCCATGCAATAGTCTGACGTTCTCCCTTGGAATTATGGACGGATGGGGGATAGTCCGGGAGGGGGTTGCACCAATTGAAGTCAATTATGCGTGTCACAAGTACAATTCGCACGCAAGCACGCACGTGTACTTGCACACGCACGCACACACTCATGCACGCACGTGTACGTGCACACGCACGCATGCACGCACGTGTACGTGCACACGCACGCACGCACGTCTACGTGCACATGCATGCACGCACGTGTACCTGCACACACACGCATGCACGCACGCACACATGCACACACGTGTACCTGCACACGCACGCACGCACTCACGAACGTGTACCTGCACACGCACGCACGCACGCACATGTACGTGCACACACACGGACGCACGCACGCATGCACGCACGTGTAAGTTTACACGCACGCACGCACGTGTACGTGCACACACACGGACGCACGCATGCACGCACGCACGAACGTGTACCAGCACACGCGCGCACGCACGCACGTGTACACGCACGCAGGCACGCATAGCACGCCTTGGCCGTGTCACAAGTACAATTCGCACGCAAGCACGCACGTGTACTTGCACACGCACGCACACACTCATGCACGCACGTGTACGTGCACACGCACGCATGCACGTGCGTGCGTGCGTGTGCACGTACACGTGCGGCGTGTGCAGGTAGGTACACGTGTGTGCATGTGTGCGTGCGTGCGTGCATGCATGTGCACGTAGACACGCAGGCACGTACGCACGCACGCAGGTGAACGTGCACACGCACGCAGGCACGTACGCACGCACGCATGCACGCAGGTGAACGTGCACACGCACGCACGCGTACGCACGCACGCACGCCCATGTACGTGCACACGCACGTACACACTCATGCACGCACGAACGTGTACCTGCACACACACACACGCACGCACGCACGGCATATGTGCGTGTGCACGTACACGTGCGCGCGTGCGTGCGTACGTACACGTGCGTGACGCACGTATACGTGCACACGACACATATATACGCTATGCTTTCATTATCACGTCGTTGTTATTGCGTGTGTCGACACAGCTGGTGGAATCACAACGTCAAGGCACATGTATATACATCGTGTTGTAGTAATTGTCGAGTAATTTGTCAGCATCCCTGGCACCCGACACATCACAAGTATGCGTGTTGTTAGAGGCAGATGCGTGGAATCAGATTAACTTAAATCATTGATCACCGTAAATCGCTGCGCGTGGACATTTATATACACAACGTTTAAATATCACGGACGACGTGCGCGTAGGATCCATTTCCCACCACCTTCACCGAGTTGTAAATTGCTACCATTAAATTTATATTAATTAATGCATATACAATTATAATTATAAGCTGATAAAAAAACAAAAATATTTGGGGCAACCACACCGAGACGCGATCCCCGACCTGCGGCTCGGGGGTTAAAAAGCCCGTGGAAGCAGCCCACGGTTCCGCACGCGGACGCTACCAACCAGGCCAGCTAGGCTAGCGGCGAGATTCTAAGATTGGATGCGGGTCACGATCCTAGGCACCCGACTCGTGACGGGAACGAAGCCACAGCGCCCATATATAGACTGGAACGACGTTCACGAATCAGACAAGCGCAGAGGTATATAGGTATATGGCATAAAAACTGTTTACACAGGAAAATGAGCGGTAGGGAACGGGGAAAGGGTACAGGAAAAGGGCCGGACAACACTAGGCGATTACATCGATTCTATCGCGCGAGTCGAGTGCACACACTCGCCTAGTCGTGCATGCATGTGCGTGCGTGCGTGCGTGTGTACGTACACGTGCGTGCGTGCGTGCGTGCGTGCGTGTGTACGTACACGTGCGTTCGTGCGTGCGTACGTACACGTGCGTACATGCGTGCGTGCGTGCGTGTACACGTGCGCGCGTGCGTGTGTCGTGTGCACGTATACGTGCGTGCATATTGAAACACGGGGCGCGTATATGTAGTGTCGTCTTAGCTGTGCAGGATGTTCTGAATACAATATACTGTCTAATGTAATTTGATGTTTAATAATGTAACGTCTAATGTTATTTAAGGTTATTTAGAATTTATTTCACTGCACAATTTTCGAATCTACAGTTTATTGCACCTTTTACATTTACAACTGCTCGATTCATACTCGAACACACAGTACAGTGTACATATACACACACATGTACATATGTACATATGTGTGTTTATTACACTACAGTGAGAGACACCAAAGGCGTCGGAAGCAATAAAATAGTGCCGCGGCTTTGGTGATAGGGCGAGCCCCGGGGAGGCGAAGCCACCCGTAAGGGGGGGGGGGGGTCTGGGGGCATGCCCTCCCCGTGAAATTTGAAATCTACAAGGCAAATGGTGGGCTCTGGTGCATTCTGTCTGAGCATTGTGATTTAGCAC